CACGAATGGAGGGGAACTTCCTCACCTTGACAGAGACTACAAAAAAACCTAAAGCTAACATCAAAATTAAGAGTGAAAATTCAAAACTTTTTCACTAAGATCAGGTAACAAGGCAAGGATGCTCCCTTTTACCATCATACTGAATTTTATGCTAAAGCATGAGGAAAATGGAAGAAAATCAAAGTTACACAGATTGAGAAAGAAAATATAAAACTACTGTTTTCCACAGGTGTCATGATAGCCTGTGCAGAAAATCAATTGGCCAAAAAACACATAAACACAAAACTGGAACTGACCATACAGAGGGGAAAAAAATAAGATTTTCAAAAACAATGTTAAAAGTCAATTCAATAGGGGCCTCCCCTGGTGGTGTAGAGATTGAGTGCTGGGCTGCGAAGCTGCCCACAGCCTCTGCAGCACCGGTTCGATCCCCGGCCACCAGTGAGGGTCCCACATGGTGCGACAGACCTCTGCTGCCGTGCCTGCTGCTCCCCTCAGCAGTGTGTTTCATCGGTCTGCCTGTTGTGCTTGTATGGATAAATAATCTTAAAAAAAAAAAAAAAAAAAGTCAATTCAATAAAAGGTGCATGGCTTGTCTGACACACAAAAAAAACTCAAAATGGAGTATAGACCTGAGGGTAAAAGTTAAAATGTAGAACTCTTTTTTTAAAAAAAGATTTTATTTATTTACTTTTGTGTAGAAGAGTTGGGGTGTAGGCCAGAGGTGCAGTGGGGAAGAGGTTGAGAGGATTCAGCAGAGACAGAGTGGGGAGCAGAACAGGTGAATTTACTGAAATACACTGCTAATGAGCAGCGGGCGAGACAGGAGAGTTTGGCTGTGCCATATGTGGATAGCTCCCTGGTCGGGAATCAAACTAAGGCCACAGCGGTGACAGCACTGAGACTTAACCCCTAAACCACCAAGGAGGCCCCCAAACGTAGAACTGTTAAGATAACTCTTTGTAATACTGGTCTAGGCAAAATCTTAAATATGATACCATGTACACAGGGACAAAACAGAAAAACTGTAAGTCATCGAAATTTACCACCTTTGTGCAGCAAATGATACTTTTAAGGAATTATGGAAGACAATTCACAGGATGAGGAAAACATTTTGCAAGTCACATTTGGAACAGCTTCCATTAAGAATATATTAAGAGGGCCTCCCCGGTGGCGCAGCGGTTGAGCGCTGGGTTGCGAAGCTGCCCACAGCCTCTGCAGCGCCGGTTCGATCCCCGGCTGCTCCCCGGCCACCGGAGGAGGGTCCCACACGGCGCGCAGACCTCTCCTGCCGCCCGCTGCTCCCCTCAGCAGTGTACTTCGGTCCTTCTGCCTGCTCTGCTCCCTGCTCTGGCTCTGGTGAATTCTCTCACCCTCCCGCACTTCTGACTGTACCCAGTGCATGTATAAACAAAACAAACAAACAAGCAAATAAATAAATAAATAAAACATGCCTCTATAGGAAAAAAAAAAAAAAAGAATAAAAAAAAAAGAATTAAGAGCTCTTAAATTCAACAGTAAGATGAATAAATCAACTTAAAAATATCTATATAAAAAAAACTTAAAAATACCTGTTTGGATATATTTGTCCAAAGAAGATATAAAATGACAGATACTTGAAAAAAAGATCAGCATCATTTGTCATCAAGAAAATGTAAATCAAAGCAAATAAAACACCACTTCAGAGTGAATGGTATTTCAATAGTCATTATGTAGAACATTAAAAACATAAGAAAGTTACATTTCAAAAATGAGGCTAATTACCTGTTTAAAACAAAATTATAAACATATACTATGGGGCCCCCCTGGTGGCACAGGGGTTAAAGACAGCACTATCAAGCAACTGGCAGCCACTGCAGCGTGAGTTCAATCCCCAGAAGGCCAGGGAGCAACCCACATGACGCAGCAGACCTCTCCTGTCTCGCCCACTGCTCCCCTCAGCAGTGTATTTCAGTAGATCCACCTGTTCTGCTCCCCATTCTCTGGGATCCTCTTACCCCCCTATACCTCTGACCTGTATCCCAGTTCTTGTATGCATAAATAAATCTTAAAAAAATAAACATATACTATGATGTTTAAAACACATTTTAAGAATTAAGATGTACAATGGAACACAAGCTAGAGGGTTAAAAATATTGATATAAGATTCTTAAACTATCTATCATTGTGATATAACATTATTTGAATGTGAACTATGGTAAGAATGTATATTTCAAATTCTCCAGCACCACTAAAAAATGTTTAGAGAGCATTGCAATAAACTGATATTGGTATTAAAATATAATCAAGAAAATCCAATTAATACAAAAACAGGCAGGAAAAGAAAAAGAATGATCATATGGGATAAAGCAAAATCACACATGTATAAGGTTCTAAGGAACAACTGTCTGTCTATATTCCAGGATATATAAAGTAAGTCTCAATAAAAGCATTTCTAATAACCAATGAGTTAAAAAATAAAGCAGAAGAGAAATACAAATTATTCTAGACTGAAAGTAGAAACATTAAATTTATGGCATAAAACTAAAACAATGCTTAGAGGAAAATTTGTGATATTAAGTATTATGATAAAAAGAATAGTCAAAATCAATAATGTAGGCTTCTGCTTTTAAGAACCTATAAAGAAACCAAATGCAGGCATAAAGGAAATTAAAAAAATGCAGAATTCGAAGAACTAAAAAATTAATGAGAAATCATTAAAATTAAAAGTTGGTTCTTTGAAAAGATCAATACAACTGATCAATTTCTAAAAAGGGAAAGAAAGACAAATCTGTAACACCAAGAACAAGAGAGAAGACATCACTATACATACACTATAGACATTAAAAGCATGAGAAGAAATTTTATAAATAACCTTATGCCAACTTGAACTTGGATGAAATGGACAAATTCCTTGAAAGATATAAGCAGCCAATGCTTACTCAAGAAGAAAGAGAAAATCTGCCATCTTATTAAAGATATTTAATCCACAGTTCAAAATTTCAGGTCCAAATATTTATACTGGTATATTCTTCCAAAATTTGAGACAGAAATAACAATTTCTTTTCACAAACTTTTCCAGAAATATACTCATTCCATGATGTCAGTTTTGATACCAAAACTAGACAAAGACATTGCAAGAAAAGCAAAGTATAAACCAGTATTGCTCAGGATGAAGAAGTCTTTAACAACTCAATTTTAGTAAATTGAGTGAATCCAACAATATATAAAAACGATACAACACTATAACCAAGTGGTGCTTTCCCAGGGATACAAGGTGAGTTTAACAATTAAAGATCAATTAATATAATTCACCACAAATCATGTGATCACGCCAACAAATGTAGAAAAATGCAAAATGTAGACAAAATCAAAAGGCAACTTGTATAAAAACTCAGTTAACTAGGAATAGCAAGATACTTCTCAACTTGATAAACATAGAGTGAGCATGAGCACGCACACCAATACATGTGTGCCCGCACACACACACACATACCCAAAACAAAAACAGTTAGCATCATACTTAATGACAAAAGACTACTGTTTTTTGTGGTGGTTAAAATTCCTGTATCTTGATTGGTGCTGCTTACTAACTATAAAATTGTAAAAACTTATGCTGTACAAATAAAATTGGTGAATTCTACTATATATAAATCATACTAATAACTGATTTGAAAACTACAGTAGACTAGAATTCATTTTCAAGAAACCTAATCACTCAACTAAGCATGAAAAGATTCAAGAAATGGGAATGTTTAATTATGAACATAAATGTACAAAATGCTATCCATTACTACTTTATTGCTATTTTGTGATCACGAAAAGAAAATTATTTCCCTAATGTCGTCTAATTTTACTGCTAGAGAAAACATAAATTCTTAAAGCTCAAAGCAGGAAGTTAATATTACAAGGGCCTTTGCTAGAAATCTACTATGATAAAAATGAAGAGAAATGTGGAAGAGAAATTTGTCTCATATATACTTTGCTGAAGGAAAACCCAAATGACTAAGGACATAGCTAAGTGCAAATTCTGTAAGTTAACATTTAGTTATTAAAGGAAAGATACAGGCTATTTAAACTACAATACTGGTAGATAGCAGGCACTGCCCCATATTCTATTCCTTTGCTAAAACTCAAAGTCAGCACTTCTCAGACAGACAATCCAATATACACAGAATTGAGCTGATAACTGAAGTAAAGGATAAAGCGCAGATCTAAGTAAAAATGACACTGAACCTTTTTTTTTTTTTTGAATAGGGCATGGACATCCTAGTTTGTTTTTAAAATCATGTTTGTATGCCAAAGAAGCTCATAAAGAACAAATAAAGACAAAAAGGAGTTAAGCTCATATTTATAACCATTCAATCACTAATGTTTTGCAGTTAACTTGTATTCATTTTAAATGTACATAAACGTAATATTCGGCCTTTACTACCCAAGTCTGAATTGTTCAATCCTCAGGTAATAGTTTACAATGAACTTAAAATTAACACAACAGTGGGTTTGTTTACAAATAGTAATGTTATCTATATACTTCTTAAAAATACCACATAAACCAAGTCAAGCTAGAGCTGCTGAACAAACAGCAACATCACAAATAAGATGTCTTTCATACACTCATAAATATTGCTATGAATTTTACAAGAAAAATTCACATATAAAATGGGTAATAAAGATTAACAGTAATACGCTTTCAAATTAGCTACTGAAATCATTGCTACATGATTAAACAGTAGCAAATTAATTATGTCACCTAAACTCCAGAGTAAGGTAACATTTGGGATTCAAATTAGCCATTTTATTAAAGAGAAGTACAACAAAAAAATTACTAGTCAACAACAAAACTTCAGTTATCAGACGGTTAGGTCTAGAATTAATATTCAAGCCAATCAATCCTAACAAGGAGAACTATGTAACATTTTCAGAATTTAGCTTTACTAAATCACAAACATTCGACTAACTGTTGACATAGCAAAAGTATAATCTTAAATCAAATTTCTTGCAATGATACTCCATCCTACCTGTATCTTCAATAAATTCCACACATTTTTCAACAAATAGTGGTATGGGCTTCTCAGCTGTAACCAGATCCTGGAGGGGCATCCCAAAGTAATTACTTTCCCAATTTCTACGTGTTGGTGGATTGAAGTTCTTAGTTTTCTTTTTCTGCTATAAGAAAACATATTCATGTTAAAACTATTAGAATTCAATTTCTTTAGTACATTAGTATTAGGCATTGTAAATACATATTTTGTATGAAACAATATACTTAAAAGCCACATTCAACCTAAATGTCCAACAATATGGGAATTATTAAATAAACTCTGCTAGTAGCAGTGACCTGAGAAACAGACCAACTTTGGAGGAAAGGTAAACACAGAAAAATGGTAGATAATCGTTCCTTAAGAATAATAAAAAACTAGACAGATGGGGGATTAGAAAACATCATTTTTCAATGTGAATGCAAAGGAAAAACAAGGAGCAAACAACGTTCAATTCAGTTCTGTGGTCTGTTAATTTTATCTGGTCATTCAGACAGATCTAAACGAGGTTTTTGTGCATAGCTTGTGCATAGCTGTATTTGTAAGAACATGCTATAGCTTTAATTACTGATTTATACAATGAAGCTATGTAACTCTATGAACCTTTAGTCCCATCATTTGTCCCTCCTTATTTTCTGAACTATTTCTCAAATGTTAGGTACTTCTAGTAAGTAACGGACAAAGCATTTTCACAATAGTAAGAAGCAAAATGAAGTAAGAATTTTCAGAATTTAATTCAGAATTAGTCTCAATCAAGAATGGAGTAGCTCAAAAACCTAAGAAAATACTGCGTGGAAGTCAACCATTAAGGGGATTCTGAGTCATTCTTTCTAGAATAAGGAGTAGTAAGCATCTGCATAGGTGATTTTATTATTGTGCATTCTTAATTGAGAATCTCTAGCCTATAGGAAGAAGAGGAAGTTTTTCAGAAAATCAAAGATGTTAGAGCATTTTTGTTGATAGCCTTTGTTTCTTTTCAGTCTAATTTTATCTACAAACTTTTTAACAATCTTCTTTGGTGGAAATAAAATTCTAGTCATATTTGTTTTTAGTACCATTACTGACTTAAAGAGAATAAAAACATACCCCATTTCTTATCAGCAAAGTGTGTATGTGAGTGGGGTGGGGAGCACAAACCAAGCATTCAATGCCTAAAACAATCTTCATCTTAATTTCTCATTCTTTTTGAAGGAAATCTCTCCTTTGGATGGTTCCCTTCTATTCTTCCAAGTCTAAAGATATCTTGAATGATGAAGTAAATCTTTAATTCAATTTCAGGTTGTTTCACATAGCAAAACTCAAGTAATTCAACTTTAAGTCCTCATATACTATTCATTCTCTGGTGATACAGTGTTTATATACTACTACTACTAGTATGTACAGATTACATACATATATAACTAGGTGGCTAGAATGTTGTCAACAAGGCATTGAAGTGTCTGATCTGGCTCAAGATTTAATCCACCAAGTCAAAAAGTATGGATTCTTACTCCTTAATGATCCTTCCGTTATCACACAATCGCCACTACGTCTCAGTCCCTATCATCACCTTTTCTCAACATCAATACTTTCCCTTCTTGGTAATGTCATCCACACACAGACAACCCAAAATTGATACTTTCTGTCTAGTTCTTTTCCTTGAATTCCAGGCTCATTTGAAACAACAGAAACATATCAATAAATACCTTAGGAGAAATTTCCTTCTTAACATATACAAGATTTCTACACTGACTATTCAATCAACCCTAACTCTACCACCTTTCCCTACAGACCACTCAACAAAGTAGCCAGAATAACACTAACTCCTCAAATAATGGTCTGCCAAAGTAATCTATAATCTGCCTCTTTACATTCTGACCTCATTTCCCTCTACTTTCATTTACTCACTTCCTCTAGTCACATGACTTCCTAGTTTTTTTTTTTTAACATGCAAGTATGCTCCTGACTCAGGCCTTCTGCATTATCTATATCATTATTACACGTTAAAAACTGAAATCTTACTACTTGTCTTTTTTGAGCGCCTGTGCAGTAACTCCAAGGCCCTCTTACACTGTTGTTGTTTTCTATCCACAATACTATATACTCATGTATTATTATTATTATTGGTGTCTCCCTGCTATAATTTAAGCTCTACACAAGAGCAGAATTTTTATCTGCTTTCCAAAGATCTGGAAAACTGCCTATGAAAAAGGAGAAAGTACAAAGAGATCTCTTCTGAAATAATAAACGTATTTTGTAGACTGAATAATTTCACTGAAAGGTAAACAACCAATAGGAGTGAACCATCAAGTTACAGAAATATCATACTAAACTCACTAAGCTTCAGAGAATCTTGAACGCATTCAGGAAGAAGAAACCAATGACCAACAAAAAAAGGAACATATTGTGCTAGCCCCAAAATTCTCAAGAAAACTGGAAAGTCAAAAAAGACTTAGCTAAAGGAATGTTCATGGGAAAAGGATGTGTTTGAGTCAGTGTGTCATTCAGGTGTGTATAACCAGCAATGACAGATTCTTTAAAGTTCTTTAAAAATGTGGTAATTACAGCATTCTCAAATGCATTCTGAAAATCTTATAATACATGCTGAAACAGCATCAGAAATAAAGAATTTATATTTGAGAACCTGCACTTTGAAAACCTAATGAACATAAAAATAATTGTTATAATGGCATGGTTATTAAATAGGATATAGTCTACAATTTTGTGGATAAAGCTAAAAATTAAAAAAAAAAAAACAACAAAAAACGAACACCAAAACTACTGACAATGATCTACTGTGTTTGGAGGGGGTGTAGAGGCAGAGAGAAAGGGGGTGGAGGAGAATAGCTTTAGCACATGGCAGGTACTCAAAAAAACTAACCAAAAAGCAAAATTATAAACAGGAACCAGAGAAAGTCTTTATCATGTAAGATTTCTATTAATAAATATGCAAAGTAATGTTGGTTTAATTACCCATTAATAGAAAATTTCATTATACCTAATTGCTCATTCCTGTGGGAGTCACTATATGGGTGTGTCTCAGCTTAGGCATCTTATTACCATAATGAAATCAGGATTCCTAAAAATAATGATTGCTTGTAAATTTACAAGAAATATTTTTGACAATAAGAACAGTAAGAACTGAACATACCAGATATTGTGATGAGGACAAAAATCAGTGTAAATAAAGGCAATGCCCTTTAGATTATAAAGGAAAAACACTCATTACTAGTCAATTACCCGTACATAGTAATAGTATATGACTTAGTGTCAAGAAAGTTAGATGTAAGCCTTAAACCCATACTTCAAAAGGTAGAAGGTAATATAAAGGAAAAGATGAAGTCAGGGACATATCAGGAATTTAGAGGATTTATTCTGTAAATCACTTACTCATCAAAACATTTATGGCAGCACGCGGTCTGCACACCTGTGCCTATGCAGGTGCTTCTTTTCACCAACTCTCTCCTTGCAGGGCAGCAGCCTTCCTATACCATGCCGAGGCTTCTCTTCACTGACCTCCCTCAGAGAAGGCAGCCCTCCTCAAGGCTGCCCGCCTGCAACCATGCAGCCCTCTCTTAGCAAACCTGTTCCTTCAGGGCAGCTCTTCCTGCCCGCTTGTGTCTATGCAAGTGTCTTTTACTCTTTTGTCCCTTTCCCTAACAAACCTGCCCTTTAAATATAACAACAACAACAACAAAACATTTATGTGCCAATGATATGGTATCATAAGCCCTCAGAATCACCAGAAACTGCCATTTATTCAGTACTTATTACATTTTAGGTATTTCAATAATCTTAATCTTCACTACAGCTCTTAGAAAACTATTATCAATTTCAACACACTTGGAATTAAAAGTTCATTTAGGAATGAATAATGAGGACAGAAAAGCAAGAGCAACAGTGCAAATGACTTTACAATGACATAAAAAAGGAATCTGAACTTCATACAGAGACTACAAATGTATTCACAGGCAGAGGGATTAGGCACCTATAGTTTAGTGATATCCCAGAAAGCAACAGATTCTCCTTCGTTCCCCTGCCCAAGGGTGAATAGGTGCAACAGAAACAATTAAAACGTTATTACACCATTACACCACCATACTGGTAAGGATACAAAAGAACTGACATACACACATACTTTACTGTTTAAAGCAACTTTATTCATTATGGTCCCAAACTGTTTCTCTTAAACTGAGTTTAGTGCTAGTCAAAGGTTTTATGCTTGTTTTTTGTTGGTAATCTCTCATCTTACATGCCCTTCATATTACATGCTCTCTTATTTCTCAGACTGCATCTCCATAAGGGACACGTGACTATGACAACCAACTAAATGAACTCAACTAAATGAACTCAACATGTTTCACAGCAAAATAACAGCCAAGTAGGATAAACAGAAACAGTGTATAGCTTTGAGCCACAGTAGTTCCTTCCTGAAAATATATTCTTACACAATCTTGTTGAGAATAGGAAAATAAAATCTATGTCCTATGAGAAAAAAACTGTCATTCCTAAAATGCAGGTACAAACCTGCCTTGTACGACTTACTTCTAGAATCTCACAGGAATTTCTGCTACACAGGGCATCTCAACTTCAGTATTATTGACATTTTGGACTATATAATACTTTGTTGTGGAGGATTACTTGTGAATTGCAGGATGCTTAGCATCTCTGGTCTCTACTCAATACATACCAACAGCAACTTTCCACAACAGTTGTGATAGTCAAAAATGTTTCTAGACATTGTCAAATGCATCCTGGAGGGCAAAAATGACCCTAGATGAAAATCACTTTGCTAGGCTAATAAAAATAAGAAACAAGAACTCAAGACTGGAAGACGGCTATATAAATATATACTGGGAAGTCTGAGAATTTTAATTAAAAAAAAAAAAAATCAGGGCCTCCGAGGTGACTCAAGGGGTTAGACGCTGGCCTATGTGGCCAGCCAGGGAGCTACCCACATGGTGCAGCAGACCTCTCCTGTATTGCCCACTGTTCCCCTCAGCAGTGTATTTCAGTCAATCTGCCTGTTCTGTTCCTGACTCGGTCTTTGGTGAATCCTCTCACCCTGCACACCTCTGGCCTGTAAACCAGTTCTTGTATGCATAAATAAATAAATCTTTAAAAAAATAAAAATAAAAAAGATCAATA